GGATTCCGTGATGCTAGCTGCATGTTTAATTTAAAAGGCTACCAAGAAGTGATCCGTAATTCTCCGGCGTAATTTGGCAGGCGGTGAACGAATCTTCATAAGAGGTGTTGTTGGCCAACATGGGCCCCGCGGAAGATAAACATGGAGTTCGCGCAAGTTTCGCAAAAATAATTTTTTATTCGCGAAAAATGGCCGTTCCGGGATAAAGGAATTTTGATCAACAACCAAATTTTAGTTTCACATATCTTCACATACTGCGCATCCATTTGACAGAAAAAAAAACGCAAACTACAAAAAGACACGAAGGAACCCACACCAAGCAAATCAACTTCCAACTCGACGAATACCAAAGGGACATGATCAAGAAAATTAGGCGGAGGAGTGGGCGAATGAACAAATCGCATTTTCAAGGGGGATGCCTAGTATGTTTATAAAACCTTGTAAATAAACATTACAAAAATTTGTTTTGATACTGACACTGACGTGGATGGTTCATCTCCTTTGAGCTTGAACTCATTAAAATTGTCATGAAGTATATAATCAGTTTCAATTTGGTAAGTACAGACTGAGTTCTGTCGTCACTAGAGACATGGCTCCCACACATCGATCCGCAAAAGATATACTTGCAGCCTGCAAGAGCCCCGCACAAGTGATGTTCTTTCCCGCTAAAAACGCGCGTTTTTGTGTGAAAGAATGTTTTATCGACGACCGCATCAGTTTGGTTTCTTCGATTCGTGCATGGTTCAAATAGTTGAGAGGCAGTTTTGTCTCTAGAGAGGGACACTCCTTACAGGGACATTCCTGGAACATTCCTTTTCATTCGTGTTAATTCCAAACAATTCCATGTCAATCCAAATATATAACTATTTTTTACTTGTGTTGTTTGAATCGTTTGGTTTTTTAAAGATGTTTTTGGTGTTTTTTTGATGTTTTAGTTTTTTGTTTTGTTTGGGTTGGATTTTAGGAGATTTCAAGATTTGTTAATGGAATGTTTTGGATGCTATTTTTTTGTCAGAATTTGTTGGTTTGGTTTCGTTTCGATTTTTTTGGTGGAATTGTCGAGTTTGGGGGGGGATTGGTTGAGATTTTGTTGAAAGGATAGCAGTTTTTAGGAGTAACCCTGTTTAGGAGTAACCCAGAACTCTTCAATGAGGCCAGAAATTGATATATATATACATATATATATATAAATCAGGTCACTGTGGCAACATCAGGACACATCGAACTGTAAGGAACCGCCCGAGCCACTGACCAAAAAGGGGAATGGTTGTTCAGGTTGAAGTCTGCCCAATTGCTTCCGGATTTGGGTAGAATATATCAAGGGCGAAAACATGCTGAAAAGGAAATAAAGAAATAACTTTGTGAAAACAGCAGGACCAAAAAGAGTGACTGCACACATTGTTCCAGACTGAAAACCATCATACTTTTGTCAACGGGAAAAAATGAGCAAATGACCACGATTAGTGATTGCACGTGATTACATATTGTGGACGGGCTTTTGGAGGCCTCATCTCACATAGAGAATCATGAAACTCAGACAAGGACTTTTGGTTGGCAGAATGTGGAAGTCATGTCCAATAGAGGATCTTTCCCAGGTTTCTTAAGATGTTTGGATCCAAAGATAGCCACATGCAGGTTGTGACCAAATATGATTGAATTGTGCAATTGCTTAGACCTTGACCTTTGACCAGATTACTACCTTGGAGCAGAGCTCTTAAGCAAGTAATTAGAGACATGTTTTATTGGCGTTTCCCGATCGTCTTTCGTAGAGGACACTGGCACAGAAAACGCAATCCTAAACTCACCCGGTTGATTCCAAAACGAACATGGAATCGACATGGCCGCTTGTCCAGCTCTTGTCCAGCTTTGTCCAGGCAGGTCTTCTCCTTGGTGTGGCCGCGTATCAGAATGAAGTTGCCGAGTCTGTCTATGAGTCGAGCAAGAAAGAACCTTTGGGTGCGCCGCAAGGGAAGGGCTTGGAAGGGCGGGAGGGCCCGTGACAGGACATGCATGGAGCCTTGGTGCTCAGTCAACCACAAGGTTTGCAAGGCTTAGGACAAGCCTAAGGTCAAATGTCTCTTTTTACCCTTGGACTTAGACATATTTGCATGTCAGCATGAGGTGCGCAGCCCCAAAGGTGCTGACATGATATGGCATGATGAAATGTGCGCGAGGGTGCGTAACGGCATGCTTCTCACACTGTCAGAAGTCAGAAGCAATAATGCGTCACAACTTGCTGCACACGATGCTCAGGAAAACCATGGAGCCGAGGGCACTCGCTCTACCGCCATGTTTCAGAATTCTTTGACAGGGAAGGCCGAAGGATTTGTCAAGGTAGGACTGATATAGAAATGATTTGGAAGGATGCATGCGCCAATCATTGCTGGAGGTGTTTTGGCTCTTTGGGGCATGTTGCTATCATCACGTGCCTATACCATTCATTGCCATTCTAGATCTACCTTCTTCTCACCCATCACAAAGATATCGATATGTGTCGATATTTTTAGACGCAGGTCCTCGGTTCTCTCATTTCAGACCTCTAATTTGTTCTCAGGCCCTGGCAATCTCTTTGCATGTGCTATGTAGGTCTATGACCCTGCAACTTACATCAACTTACCTGATTGCATGTGATTATCACATTTGTTGGTGCTGCAACTCGAGATCGCTTCATTGGAAGTGCATTTGCCGATCTACCACCTTAAACCACACCCCCATGCAGCTAGGAGACAAAAGGTCTTTGGCTTGACAGGAAGGCTCTTAGACCCACCCGAATGGTTTTTGCCGGTGGAAATTACTTGCTTTGGTTGAAATTCCAAGTTCTTTGTCACTGCGTCCTCTTTCGCTGGAATTCTGCAAAAGGTAGCCTTTACATATCATTTGCTCTCTTCAATCTGCTCAACCCATAGCTGCCATAGCTGGTCATTTCTGATTTGTACCCGTTGAATTTTCGGCTCTTATTTTGGCTTCTTCCCTAGTTTTGGGGTTCATCATGGCTTTGTGAAGTCATCATCATCACTATCACGTGCAGGTTGCATGGCCCTCACGCTTTCCAGCATGTCAAATACTGGTTTTTCAGGCTCTGTCCATATTATGTTGGCTGGTGTTTAATGAGTGGATTTCGACCTTGGTGTTTTGGAAGCGAACCGGTTTGAAATAGCGGATTTCAGGAACCAACATCACGCATCAAAACGTATTGGGATATTCTACAGTAGTTTATTTCTGATGTACCACTCTGTCCGATGCCATTCTTAACCCCTGTGGTGCAAGGGTGGGCAACGCTACAACAAGGACTTAGAATCGCGGAGTCTCACTTCCCTTTATGTTCTGTGCCGGGTCTTTATTCCAGAATTCGACAGCCTTCAGCTGACCCAATTCTTGGGTTGCTATACGTGCTGCAGGTGTGCATTTACACTCAGAATACAAGATAACACAAGCACAGACAGCCCGCCAAACAGACAGTTGGCTACAAAAAAGAGATACAGCAAGCAAACATATTGAACAAAGCCTTGACCGTGTTGGCCTGATCTAATTTATTGCGTTGAGGTTCGAGCTGCCTTTCTGTTGTTTCCATTTCAGAGCATTCACATTGCTAGCACAGTGGCAGGCTGAAGATGCTGCCAGAAGGCTTTGGCAATCCCAGTTTGCTGCTCAGGTGTTTGATATGAAGGGGGCGCAACAGCAAGGCAGTGTCTGTACGCCCGCATGACCCGCATGCGCACGATTTGAAGAGGTGTATGTATATGAGATTCCGTCAAGATTTGCGCTGATTAAGTATGTACTGGAGTGTGCATCGGATGTTGGCTGTTGCATGAAACCTGCTAAAACGATAGGGGACTCAAAAAAGCGATACGTTTTTGATTGCGCATGCTTGCGCGTTTTGTGGTGTGGGCATAGTGTTTGCTTAGGCAGGGTTGTTTTTTTTACGGTTGGATCCACTTCACCATGAATGGATGCGCCCATATGGTGGGTTGACTTTACATGACTTTACATTACTTTAAACTTTAGCCACCTAGGTGGGCTGCTTAAACTCGGCCCCGAGTAGCTCAGACTACGGAAACCATGCATCTATTCGCAGGCAGTGTAGGCATGCTGGAGTGGCCAACTCCATGCAGTATCTCGTTTTGCTGCCTGGCCTAGCTTTGGTAGACCGCGGCGAGCTATTCATTCAGTCTCGCACGCATGTGACTTGCAAAGATGGAGCCCGCGCAGAACGATACCCAAAACGATACCCAAACGATACTAAAATCTTTCCAAAAGCGCCCCGGGTGACCGACTGGTCACGAAACAGGCGGAACAGGCGGTGGATGTTGGTAGTATGTTGTAGTGATGGACTAAAGTTTTGTGCCCCGGCTGGATAATTAATTTTGAGGTTAGCAGCTGTGAGTGGCCAAAGCATGCCAAAACCCATTTTCTTTCCAAAAGACCTGCTGGTTGAAGAGACCGCCCAAGCAGCGCGAAGGAGGACCAGACAGGCACGGGCAAAAGCACAAGTGCGCTCCAACGCGCGCAAACAAAGATCGCCAGGGATGAGGATCCAAGTGGACGTGCTTGAAAAATATGCTTAAACAGGGGTAAATACATGGAATTCAACACAGATGGCTCAACTCAACTAGACGACGGTTGGCCCGAGAGCGAAAAAGATGTTTTTCAAGCAGCTCTGAGGATGGTAGTCGTAAAAGATAGTCGGTGAATAGTTGGTGAATTTTATATGAGCTATGGAAGGATATGGTGTGAAAAAGTAAGATTGATTATATAAGAAGAGGATACTTGGTAAAGGGCATCAGATGACACGTGTCTTGCAACCACAGAGAGAAAGAGGGAGGAGAGAGAGAGAGAGAAGGAAAGGGGGGTAGAAAGAAAACATGGAGAAATATAATGTGAGCAACAAAAATGCACAGGAGGCTCGGTACCATGATGCTGCGAACGACATGTGTTATCTCATTTTACTATTACTATAGCAATTCCTACACACATTGCCAAAAAACCTCGGCACCATCATTCCGTGGATGTGAAGAAACGCGACGCTTTTATACAGAGACGCTTTTATACAGAGACGCTTTTACACACAGACGCTTTTACACACAGACACTTTTTACACAAAGCCGCTTTTACACACAGAAGCTTTTAAACACAGAAGCTTTTACACACAGAAGCTTTTACACAAAGAAGCTTTTACATACAGAAGCTTTTACACACATGTCACATATTGTTTTACACACAGACGCTTTTACACATAAAGGCTTTTACACACAGAAGCTTTTACACACAGACACTTTTACAGACAGACATTTTTACACACATACCCTTTTACACACAGACACATTTACACGCAGAAGCTTTTACACCAAGACGCTTTTCCACACAGAAGCTTTTACTGACAGACTCTTGTACACACAGACGCTCTTACAGACAAAACCCGTTACACACAGGCGCTTTTACAGGCCGACGCTTGTACAACACATACCAACACGAAATGATGTTTTGAAATCGCAGTGAAACGTCGTGGCTCAGAAGTGCCAACCTTAGTGCATAGCACAGCGCTGGACACATTCCAGTAATTTGATTTACTCCAAGACCAGAAAACATCCATCAAAAACCCTGAATGTAATGTGAAATGTCCGCAGACGCTTGCAACAGAGCTCGATGCCATCATGTGCTTGATGTCAAAATCAGAAAAGTTTGAGTTGGAGACGAAATAAATGTCATTGAGCAACGCGCGTCCAGAAAAAAAACACTGTAGGTCACAGCCTTGGTGTAGTGCTGTAGTGAACTGCACAATCAATAGAATGCCAACACAGCACAAGTCTTGACATCACAACTGCAAAACACAGCACAAGTTTGGAACCTGAATGGGAGCTGCGCCTCACTGACACGGGTCATGCAAGATGCAGCGTCACGCCGTGATATCCCCAGTGCCGCATGCCCTGTCTCAAACACATGCATTCATCTAGAATAAATTTTGATTGACGACAATGCACCTCACATAGAGATGCGCCAGAACACTCTGTTTTTTGAAGCAAGAGCCGCGAAGCGCGATCGTACAGACAATCAATCCGTGCAGTCACATGCCACCACAACAGAAACCAGAACTCTATTTTCAATGCAACCGTTCCATGTAGCGGAGCTGCGCAACGCGTTGATGGAAGTCTTGACGCACCCAACCTCCGTTGGGGGCGCCAAGACTTCCATCAACGCAGCTCTGCTACAGTGAGCCACTTGTGGTTGGGTCGTGTCTCCACACCACCCACAGCAGCCAGGGCCCGAAGCTCATCTCTTGATCTTTCCGACAGAGCACGACGGAGCCACTCAGCACCTTGTGAAACAGCCCCTGCGCGAAGTTCTTCCAATTTGGCAGCTGATCCAACTTCCTGATCATCCACCTACAGCATCCAACACAGTGCCACCACAAAAAAACATCCATCCTAGGCAACATTGCACCACGCGACAAACACTCAATTTCGATCAAAAATACAAGTTTGGTTAAAGCCCATTTTTTGACGCACCCAGCCTCCGTTGGGGGCGCCAAGATTTCCATCAACGCGCTGCGCAGCTCTGCTACGGTGAGCCACTTCTTGTTGCATCGTGCCTCAACAGAAACCAGAACTCAATTTTCAATGCAACCGTTCCATGTAGCAGAGCTGCGCAGCGCGTTGATGGAAGTCTTGACGCACCCAACCTCCGTTGCGAGTATTGCTTTCAAGGCATCTCTGCATTCACTTGAGGCTCCGACCAAACGATTCTTTTGTAGAAGATGCAGTTCACTGCCGCTCGCACAGACTTGTGCGGTAAAACTCCATGCTTGAATTGGAACGATCAGAAAACACAATCTCCAAAGAATGAATGCAACACCATGTCCACAGAAACAGAACATGGAACAATCACAAAACACAATCTCCAAAAAATGCATGCAGAACCATATCCACAGAAGAAAGATGTCGACAGCATTGCTTTAAATGCATACAGACCCTTTTACACACAGAGCCTTTTACACACAGACCATTTTACACACAGAAGCTTTTACACACAGACCATTTTACACACAGACACTTTTACACACAGAAGCTTTTAAACACAGAAGCTTTTACACACAGAAGCTTTTACACACAGACCATTTTTCTCACAGACCATTCTACACACAGACACTTTTACACGCAGAAGCTTTTACACACAGAAGCTTTTACACACAGACGCTTTTACATACAGACTCCTTTGCACACAGACGCTTTTACACACAGACACTTTTACACAAAGAACATTTTACACACAGAAGCTTTTACACGCAGAAGCTTTTACACACAGAAGCTTTTACACACAGAAGCTTTTACACACAGAGGCTTTTACACACAGAGGCTTTTACACACAGACTCCTTTACACACAGAAGCTTTTACACACAGACTCCTTTACACACAGACGCTTTTACACACACGCTTTTACATACAGAACCTTTTACACACAGAAGCTTTTACACACAGACCCTTTTTACACAAAGACGCTTTTACACACAGAAGCTTTTAAACACAGAAGCTTTTACACACAGAAGCTTTTACACACAGAAGCTTTTACACACAGAGGCTTTTACACACAGAAGCTTTTACACACAGAAGCTTTTACACACAGAAGCTTTTACACACAGAGGCTTTTACACACAGACTCCTTTACACACAGACGCTTTTGCACAGACGCTTTTACATACAGACGCTTTTACATACAGACCCTTTTACACACAGACCCTTTTACACACAGAAGCTTTTAGACACAAAATCGCAATTTTACCTCAGTTTTTGACGTCCATTTCGTGCGAAAGGGTCGCGATGGGCCAAGTAAAATTGCAATTTTTGCTCAGTTTTTGACGTGCAACGTCCATTTCGTGCGAAAGGGTCGCGATGGGCCAAGTAAAATCGCAATTTTTCCTCAGTTTTTGACGTCCAACGTCCATTTCGTGCGAAAGGGTTGCGATGGACTAACTAAAATCGCAATTTTACTCGTACCTCAGTTTTTGACGTCCAACGTCCATTTCGTGCGAAAGGGTTGCGATGGACTAACTAAAATCGCAATTTTACCTCAGTTATTGACGTCCAACGACCACTTCGTGCGAAAGGGTTGCCCGCGACCAACTAAAATCGCAATTTTTCCTCAGTTTTTGACGTCCAACGTCCATTTCGCGCGTAAGGGTTGCGATGGACGAACTAAAATCGCAATTTTACTCGTACCTCAGTTTTTGACGTCCAACGTCCATTTCGTGCGAAAGGGTTGCGATGGACTAACTAAAATCGCAATTTTACCTCAGTTATTGACGTCCAACGACCACTTCGTGCGAAAGGGTTGCCCGCGACCAACTAAAATCGCAATTTTTCCTCAGTTTTTGACGTCCAACGTCCATTTCGTGCGAAAGGGTTGCGTTTCGTGGCGCTCCGGCGGCACCGCCCCCGCCTTAAGAGAGAATAGAAAGAAGAGCGAGAGGAGATGCAGATGTGAAGGTGTGAAGATGTAGATCAGCAGAGGTGATCTGAGGTAGATCTGCAGTGAAGGTGTGAAGATGTAGATCAGCAGATGTGAAGGTGTGAAGATGTAGATCAGCAGATGTGAGGGTGTGAAGATGTATATCAGCAGATGTGAAGGTGTGAAGATGTAGATCAGC